TCAGACCCTGGAGTCTAGACCCCCAGCCCCCTCCTCGCTCAGCCCCAGGAATCCAATCCCACCAAGTCTTTTCCTGTCCACAGCGCCCCCTGGTGGCACAATGTTGACCAGCCTTGCCAGTGGTAGAGAAAGTTGGTTTTTCACCTTTTTTTGTTCCTTCCCCTAAGTCCAGAAATAAAGTCTAAGGAAGCACGGGCTCCGTTCGAACTGTCCTCCTTGCTTCCATTCCCATTCAAAGGACTCCAGCAAATAGCTTTTCTTCCTTGGGCCTCGGTTTCCCCATCTGGGAAATGGGAGTCTTGACCAGAAGGGCCCCAGGGTCCCAAAGGAAGGAGACATACCAAGGAGGTTAAGAGAAATGGATTCTGTGCACGTTGTCCAATTTCTGAAAAGGCAAGTCGGACAAGGGCAAATTAATGGGGTTTAGTTGACCAATTTTGGTTTCGTCTTCTTAAAGGCATTTTAAGAATTTTTAATTTATATCTGCCTCAGGACCCTGCTGCTGTAGCTGGAGAATGGTGGGAAGGATCATGACGAGAGCTGCTGTGGGTGAGAGAGAGGGAGAGCAAGGGGCAGAGATGGGGGAGACTGAGGGCCCAAGAACACGAGGAATTGTTATTATGCTCTTCATCGATAAATTATATTAATAAGAATATACTGGTAAGAACTAATATTCAAGAATACATTCATAAATATATTATTTATGAATCTACTCGTAAGAAGATATTCACATTTTTATGTACCTCTTATCTTCAAAATATAAGGGATATTCAAAAATATTCAAAAATAAGGGATGAAATAACTGAAAGGGAAATAGACAAATCCCCGTTCATAGAAGAGGATTTTAAGATGCCTCTTAGCAAATGGCAGAACACACAAGATGAAAATGAATAAGGAGGGGCCGGCCCTGTGGCCTAGCGGTTAAGTTGAGTGCACTCCCTTCGGTGGCCTGGGTTCGGTTCCTGGGCATGGACCTACACCACTCTTTGGTGGCCATGCTGTGGCAGCGACCCACATTCAAAATAGAGGAAGACTGGCACAGATGTTAGCCCAGGGCAAATCTTCCTCAGGGGAAAAAAAAAAGAATAAGGACATAGATGATTTGAACAACAGGATTGACAAACTTCACTTAATGGTCATATGTAGCACACTGCACCCAGCATCTGAAGAATATGCAATCTTTCTGAAACACACGTCTACCAGAATGGCTAAAATCAAAAGGATGACGGCACCGAGTGTTGGCTAATACGTCGAGCAGCTGCAGCTCTCATACCGTGCTGGGGGGAGTGTAAAATGGTACAACCGCTTTGGGAAATAGTGTGGCAATTTCTTAGAAAGATAAACATACGTCTACCCCACGACCAGCAAGTCCACTCCTAGATATTTATAGCAGAGCAATGAAAAAAAAAATAGACTTGCCAAGGATGTTCAAAGTAGCTTCATCCACAACAGCCAAACTGGAAACAACCCAAATGTCCAGGAAAGGGTGAGTGGACAAACCATCACATATCCACATAACAGAATGCTCCTCCGTAATAAGAAGAAGTAAACTCCTGATGTGCACGACAACATAGGGAGCATTCTCATAGGCATTGTGCTGAGTGACGGAAGCCAGACACAAGCCTATTATACACTCATGCGCCCCAGGGTGATGTTTCGGTCAATGACAGGCCACATATCCGATGCTGGTCCCATGAGATCAGCACCAAAGAGCCTAGGTGTGCAGTAGGCTATACCATCTAGGTTTGTGGAAGAACACTCTGTGATGTTTGCACAACGACGAAATCGCCTAGTGACGCGTTTCTCAGAATTATCCCCGTCGTTAAGTAATGCATTACTGTACACTGTACGATTCCATTTATAGAGGAAATTCGAGCACAGGCAAAACTAATCTAGGTTGCCTGGTTACTGGGACAGGAAGAGATGGGTGGCTGTGGAGACAGACTTGGAAGTGACACGAGAGAACTTCCTGAGGTGGCGGAAATGTTCTGTAACTTGACAGGAGTGAGGGACTACGTGGGGGCATGCATCTGTCAGAACTCCCGAAGGGGACACTTGAAACCTGCACACCACACTGTGTCTGCCTCATAAAAAATGACCCCTCGATAAAAAACTTCACACAGCCCTTACGAAAACTGAGCTACGAAGCAAGTCGCAACCAAGTTCAAAGTTACAATATGCACAGGATGTTGTCTGACCAGATTGTGATTAAGCTAGAAATCGTGACAAAATGATAACCAGAAAAGCCCCATGTGTTCTCGCTTTTAAAATATGCTTCTAAATAAACCACAGCTCAAACAAGAAATCATAACGGAAATTAGAAAATATTGTGAATTACATGATAAGGAAAACACAACATGATAAAATAGCAAGAGTAACACTAAAGAATAGAAATAGGGAAATAAATTCCAAACAAGCAGAAAGAGAAAAATAAAATAAGGGGGGAAAAATCCCACTAAATCAAATAACCCAGAAAAGCTAGGATGCATGGAAAAAGCAGGATAAATAGTAATTTAAAAGTAAGATAATATCAATAGTGCTAAATATATCAATAATAACAATAAATGCAAGTGGTTAAAACTCAGATTAGAATTTTTTTTTTTAGTATGCTTTTTGGTGAGGAAGATTGGCCCTGAGCTAACATCTGTTGCCAATCTTCCTCTTTTGTTTCTCCCCAAAGCCCCAGTACATAGTTGTAAGTCATTCTAGTTCTTCCATGTGGGATGCCACCACAGCATGGCCTGATGAGCAGTGTGTAGGTCCACGCCCGGGATCCGAACTGCTGAACCCTGGGCGCCCAAAGCGGAGCACGTGAACTTAACCACTCAGCCATGGGGCAAGCCCCCAGATTACAACTTAAAAGACTGTTATATGCTGTTTACAAAAGACACACTAAAAGCTCATAGAAAAGTTGAAAGCAGGGATGAAAAGAAAAGAAATATTACCCCTTAGAAAAGTACCGTAGGTTTACTAATGTCAGTCAAATAAGGCATTCGCACTGAAACCATTATTAGACATAGTGGATTGCTACAAAACAATAAAAAGTTCTTTATAACAAATATAACAATTCTAAACCTGAATATTCCTAATAAAATAGCTTCATAGTACTTAATATAAAAACTGGTAAGACTACAGGGGCAAATGGACTGATTCACCCATTAAAAATGTGAGATTTAAACAAAAAAAAAATGGGGCTGGTGCTGTGGCTGAGTGGTTAAGTTCGTGCACTCCGCTTCGGTGGCCCAGGGTTTCACTGGTTCGGATCGTGGGCATGGATGTGGCACCGCTCTCAAGCCACGCTGAGGCGGCGTCTCCATGCCACAACCAGAGGCACTCACAACTAGAATATACAACTATGTACTGGGGGGATTTGGGGAAAAAAACCACACACAAAAAGTGTGAGATTTCAACACAGTTATGTATCATAAAAAGGATTCCGTGTCATAGTCACATTCTCCAACCACGATGCAAGAAAATTAAAATTCAGTGAGCACATTGACAGAATATCCACACACGCAGAAGTTAAAACACAACCACCTCTCTAAATAATTCACGATGAAAATTAAATCATATTGGAAAAACTCCTAATGGAAATTTTAAAATGTTGAGAGTTGAATGATAAAATATATATATATATATATTACACAGCAAAACTTGTAAAAAGCAACAGATTTATAGCTTTAAACGATGATATTAGAAAAAAAGAATGGATGAATATAAATGAGCCACTGTGTCAGAGAATAAACCTAACGCAAAGGAGACACTGAGATGGGGAGACCTCCAGGAATCAAGAATGGGGTGTTAGCTGGAGGTGAGGGCAGCCTGGGGTTCTGGGCCAGAAGTCCCTCAGTGCCTGGCCCCAACCCCTGCTCTGGGCACCCGGATCTGGAGGTGGTAGGCGGAGGGGCCGTGGAACCGAAAGATTGCACTGTCTGACCGCTAAGGCATG